TTGGTATAAATGAATACAATTTAGTGAATATACTAAATATATATATATATATGTAATTTGCCAGTAATTAAGTATGATTAAACATAAGCAAAACCAACTGGGGTACAGGCTTCTCACCCTACCTCACATACAAAACAAAGCAATTCAAACTAAATTTATGTACTATATTCTTCTTATACATATTCATTCATGTTTCCTGAAAGTTTCCTCCTACTTTCAATTCTTAAATTTTACGTCACTATACTTCATGTTGCATGCCTCACTTGTTGCTAGGGGGTCTTCAGTCTCCTTTTGGTGGTCTTGTGATGAAGGCTTACAGTCATCCTCATTGTCCTCTGGATAACCTTACAGGTTGCATGTGTGTACTAAGCATTGTGTTATGTGATTAAGCATTATGTTCCAATAACTAGCCTTGCATTTCGTAGGTAAAACCATTATTTTAGACTCTATGCTTGAAGTCGTTGTAGCTTTGTCCATCTCAAGGTCACTTCTGTCTTGAGACACTACTTATCTTAAAATTACATCCTGTATCCTATTTTTAACATGTAACATCTGCAAAGGGGTCCATCTGCCTTTTAACACTAATTCCCTTGATTGCTTTGTAATAATAACTTTCTAACACTAATTCCCTTGATTGCTTTAAAATAATAACTTTCCAAATAGTTGCAATTTAGTTAGCACTAATCATCTCCACTTATCACAGGATTAAAAGAGTGAAGGAAGAAGATCTTTGACCATATTCCTCTGAATTGCAGTGGAGCCCTGCTTTTCTATGCTTCAGTATCTCATTTGCACGCTTCAGATGTTGAAGTCACTTTGTGTTATCCATGGCAGAAGGAGTCTCAATAGCTTTCAGAGATAATTTCAGATGTGCATGCAGTGTGAGCAAAGTCCTTGGAGAAAAAAATCCTTAAAATCACCTCTGTGCTGTCAATCAATGTCCACTCTTGTAGATTAAATAATTTCTGCAAGCAGACACTTGTTATTGGCTTGGCCCATGGTTAAGTCGGTGTCTTCATTACTGAACTTGAACCTCTCTGTACTGGCTTTCTACAGATTGTGCCCTAAACAGATTCCTGCTGTAGGACAGCCTGGCTGTAAGTGCAGGAAAATGGACATTATATTCCTTCTTAAGAACTGACTGAGTTTGATCTTAGGAGACTACAAAATAAGGAAATGGACATTATATTCCTTCTTAAGAACTGACTGAGTTTGATCTTAGGAGACTACAAAATAAGGAAGGGTTCAATGGAGTGAAGTAAAATTTAGGTCTTCTTTGAGTCTATGTTGCCACTGTTATTCTTTCATTGTTTTTGCTGCTTCTCCTCTGATCCCTCTGGAGCTGGCCTCATTAGCACTAGGACACTGAAGAGATGACCAGTTTTATCCAGTACAGAAATTCAGTGACTTCCACCATCCTTGATGGGCTTTCAAGGCAGCAACACTCCATTGCTCGCTGACAGCCCCTAGGCTTAAGTGTAATGGCCACAATTGCAAAAGAAATTTCTTTCAAGAGGGGGTTCCCTTTCCAAACAGTCATGGAGCATTTCTTATACATCCAGTCATCCAGAAGACCCCAATCCTGAAAGGCCTTATGCCCAACAGAGATCATTGCAATCCATAATTCCTTGAAAACCGGTGTCACCATTGAGCTGATCTGACTGCCTGTGACAGTGGTGTCTCAGACCAACCATTTAGCACAGAGTGAAAAACCCAGGTCTTGGTTTCCCCATCATTAATTAATTAATATCAGTTTAATTCCTCAGCCCACCTTTCTGGGCTAGTAGCAGCAAAGGTCCTCCATCCTGCCCAATATGTAGTATGAGGTGTGTCTGTCTTTAGTTTGTATGACAGGTGTTAATTTTCAGAACAGTTGCATAAGGAGGAAATGTGATATGTGTGCAGCTGTGCTTGTGGTTCAGCTTTCTAGTAATGCAGAAATAAAAATAGGTTAGTGGGTTCACAGAAACAGGAAGATCCTGCAATCCCCTCCTCATGGCAGTGCATAGTCAGATGCTTTCTCTCTGGACAGGCTCTGCAGCCAAGGCTTTTCCACCCTTCCCAGTTATGCTCTGAGCAGAGTTCAGAGTTAATCCTTCTCATCTAGCAGGGCATCTTATCAGGACATGGCAAGTCACCCCTTACTTCACAAAGCTCTTCTCCCTTGACAATTAAATATGAATTGCTTTATTTTGTCCGATAATAAACAGCCCCACTGAATTTTTAGGAGCTTCTCTTGATGGCAGTGTTTTCCTCTTGAAGGATTTCACTAGCCCCTTTTCCCCAGAAGATGAGACTTACTGCCTTCTCTTGGTGACCCCCAAAACCTATTCAGAGCCCTTCCTCCCAAGAAATCGGACCATAACCTCCTACTTTTTCCCAGATTCCAAGATCTTTTTGGTTTTATTAACATGTATTTTGGCTTTATGTCCCCCAGGTGACCCATGTGGTCTCCTGGACAGTTTTTGTGGTTTATATGTTTTCTGTGCATTGTATCAGTAATAATTTTATATTTCTTTTCAGATTATTGAGGAAAACATTGAAGAGCATCAAGCCTAGTAGCAGCCTCTGTGGATCTCTATTCCAAAGTTCTGCAAGCAATTAGAGAGTTCAAGTCACCCAGCTGGTATCTGGCAATGGAAACCTCTTGTATCTTGTTCTCTTGTATCATTGATCAACATTCCTTTTGCTGATGGCATAGAAATATCTTGTCATTGTCATGCAGGTGAAATACAGCATCCAACATGACTTTCTGAGGGTTTGACTAATTCTTAGTGACAGCTCCAACCTGTTTCTAGAGCTCCTCCCTTTCTCTTGCAGCATTTCTTTGCTATCTTGTCCCTAGACACCTTGGGTTTTTTTGCAGCATCCAGCTTCTCTTCCTTCATTTTCTCTTCTCTTTTGCCACTGTATATAATACAAGATATAGGATTTCCTTTTTGCCCTTGCATTTCAGTGTTTTTAATTGTAGACACCAGAGAAGGTTTTGATAGTAGGTGTCCCTCTGTGTTACAAACCACAGTATTTGGGAATCTCATTGGCTCTTTCTGAAAAGCTTCTAGATATCATCCACATTTTCTTAGACCAAATTTCCCCTCTTGGTTTGTCTTATCTCTGTTGTTCCTCTGTGCAGAGAAAAGACATGTCTTGAACAGTTCATTGCTAAGCCAGAGAGGAAAAAAAGGCAAATTATTTGAATTCAGAATTATTTGAACATTCAGAATGAATGTTGTGTTATTAATGGGCTTAAAAATATATGAGTTATAATCCTTAACTCTGAGTTCTTCAATCATCTGGTTAGTTGTGGTTTGGATTTAATTTTACCACTTGTGTGAAGCAAGCCAAGAGTGCATCTGTGCAGAAGGAAGTTCCTTTTTGGAAGAGCTCACCAGCTCCTGAGCTGTTTTCAGTAGGGGGATCTGGCAGCACATTGGGATGCAGATGCTTCAGAAACACCACGTGACCAAATGGAGGCTGATCTCTTTGGAGAAATTATCCTGACATATTTTGATCATGACAAGCAAACACAGAATGAAGGGTGTGTTGGAGTCAGAGGCACAGAGTGTGTGCCCTTATCTTTGATACCTGGCTCTGACATCCAAGAAAGCACCAAATTTCACATAACACCATGGAGACAACTGTTCAAGTTAAGTAGAAAAACTAGGAGTGTGAGTGTGTAAGTTAGAGAATTTTCTTAAGTGACTAGGTGAAAAAGTTAAAAGTTTAAGCTCTTTTAAAAAAACAAAAAGCAAGATGGAAGATTCAGGGTGTTGTCTCTCCTTCCTTCTTCATCTTCTTCTAGGGACTTTTGGCTAATAAGTGATTGGATAGAGAATGCCACAGTGCAGCACACAGGTGTTGGGTCATTGGGTCACTAAGAAAAATAACTTACTTGGCATTTGTTAATTGGATAAATAGACATATAAAAGACCTTTAAATAGTTCTTTGTTAGCCATTTTGCACCTTTCTATCTTAGTGTATATAGCTCCTTGAACCTTGTATGTATGTAAAATAGATAAGAGAAGAATAAATAACCAAGTCCAAATGAGAGAAAACTGCTTCCCTCTCATCAGTCTCAGTCCAAGGGGGAAAATAAACCAGCCACAAGTGTCCCATCAGGACAAGGGGGTACCAGCTAGTCCCATCTCCAGTGTGTTCAAGGAGCTCTGTAAACAGTGCACTTGGAAATGAACCTTTGCCTAAGGCAGTATTTTAAACAGGGAATGGCCTTACTCATGCCACAGACTATGTATCTATTTGGAAATGATATGGTTACTTTGAGACTCTAAATCACAAAAATTGTTCCTTTGGAGAGTTTTGCTCCCTCTTCTTTCTCTATGGAGAAAGGAAATCTTGTAGCAAAGATTTATTTTCCGCAAAGGTCTGGTTTAGAAATAGAGAGGAGGGAAGGCTGCCAAAAAAAAAGTAGAAATGGAGAAGGACCTGGGGGTACTAGTGTATAAACACTGGACATACCCCAGCTGTGTGCACTGGCACCTTGATACCCCTCATGCCGGGCTGATCCCACAACATGGGCAGCAGGGAGGGGAGGATTCTGTCCATCTCTGGTGAGACCCCACGTGTAGTGCTGACTCCAGCTCTGGGGTCCAACATCAGAAGGATGTGGAGCTGCAAGAAGGAGTTTGGAGAAGGCCACAGAGATGCTCTGAGGACTGGACCACCTCTCCTATGGTCAGGCTGAGAGAGCTGGGGTGTTCAGCCTGGAGAAGAGAAGGCTCCAGGGAGATCTTAGAGTCTCTTCTAATGCATATAGGGGCTCCAAAAGAGGTGGAGAGTGACTGTGGACAAGGGCCTGAACAAAGGAAACCCCAAGCTTTTTTACATTCATATCTAAGTGTTAAAGTCTTGGGTCATGGGCTCCTGCTGTGTCTCTTAAGTGTCTGGTCACCCTGTGCCTTTTGTTTCCCCAGGTTCCTGTCCAGAGCTTGACCTGCAGCTCACACTGCAGCTGCACACCAAGCTACCTGCATTGAATGTGCTCCTCAAGAGCCATCACTTTGTTTTAATTGAGCACTGCTGTTAATATTCTGAAAGGAAAAAAGAAATTTCAATACATTTAAACAGTCATTCCATCTAACTTTATTTCAAGTACCAAATGTAACACAATTAAGGCTAACAAGATTGCCTTAAGAGAGTGGAAATGATTATCAATATAAAATCACATAGGAATTTCAAAAGTCAGTTACTGATCAACTGCTTGGTCATTGTTTCTAGCATTAATCTCCATCCAGCTGGAGAGGATGGAATCAAGAATCTCTCTGTCCCCAAAGACACAGCTGATCAATTATATTTGCTGTCAAATTACACCTCTGGCTGATTCAATTGACTGTGGAGCCCCATATCTAGGTGCAATTTCCTCTAGCAGGGCTTTTACAGTTCTGCCTGTGTCAGCCCTGCTTGCTGGAAAGGCTTCTGCCCAGCCTGACAGCTATCTACTGTCACTGGAAAATGCTTGCACCCAGCATAGGTGGCATGTCCCAGAGTCCATTTGCAGTGTCTGAGAAAGGAGGTAGGTCCATGGTTGCCATCCTAACTCTGAGCTCATCTGATACTAGAGAACTTCTGGAAAGTTAGGAAACAGTTTGTGATTCTTTTCATGGCAACATAAATTCCTGGAGCTATCCATATCTTTTTAATTTGGTTAGCTATTGCCTCTGTCCCTCCAGGGGCTTGATTGTGAAACCATTTAGCCACAATAAGTGATTAAGTATTTCTTTGGCAGAGTTGGCTTTCCCCCCCCTTCACTTCCTGGAAGAAAATGGAAATTCATATAAATTACATTATTTTTAAAAGTAAATCATGAACAACTGTATGTAGTAGCAACCCAGAGTAAACAGTTCCTTCAATGCAAGTTCATTGTCTCCAGAGATATGGTCCATCTGTGCATCAATTGCATATTTGATGGTTGCAAGAGAAATTTGAAAGTGCCTCACTTTCAAGGCTGATTCTTTAATCATAGTGCCTTAAAACTCTATTGTTGTGGAGAAAGGCAAAACGGGCTCAAAACTTAAAAGGAATAAAGAAAGTTTATTAACAGAACTACAAGAATAAGAAACTAGAATAAAACTTCCAGAAACCTTTCCTCCTCACTACCCAACATTTCCCTTGTCCAACTGACAACACAGAGATAAAACTTGGTGGCTAAAGCAGTACTAACTATACAATAGTCTTTTCATCAGTCTTTGTAGGGAAAGGGGTTTTCTTTTGTCATTCCATGGAGATTTCTCCACAAGAAAAACAATTTTCCCATGGCTTTTCATTCCCATGATGGCAGCCACCCAGAAAAAACTCTGCCATCGTCCCCTCCTCTCATTTTCACACTACTTTGAGGTGTGTTCATAGGCCATGAACTCAAGGGGTGTTATTTTAAGGATGAGTTATTCAAAGGCAAAGGTTCTCTTCATCTGTCTTTGTGATCATCTCTGGGAACAAAAGTTTTCTCTTTTTTCTGTCTGGGGGCCAAGGGTCTTTATCAACTCTCATTTCTTTCTCTGTTCCAGCATCTCATGGGATCACATGCTTAGCTTCATCAGTGGATACTTTTGCTCAGATCTGCGCACTGTCCCATGTTGCTGCTGGGTCTTGGGGGCTTGTCCAGCCCCCAGCTTCTGCCGGCAAGTAGCCCAGATAGTCAGGCTGTCCCAGGGGACAGAGCCGCCGTCCAGGGTTCTGCAAGCAGTCTCCAGCCAGGGGTAACCCCTGGAGCATGGGCAGAAACTTTAGGGTGACCAGCTCTTTTAGCAGTGATTTCTGCCCTGTGATCAGCTCTGTTCAGCCTAGCCAGCTCCATTCATTACCCCAGCCAACGCAGACAAGAGATGGAAAGATCATATGGCATTCCACAGAAGGTCTCTAATGCAGACTCCAGAAAAGGGGGCCAGTGATGATCCAACCCCGATCTGGGCAAAAGCTGGGGTTTTCATAGGGAGGGGGAGATCCAGGAAGGGGACCAATGGTCTGAGACTGGGGTAAGATGACCAATGGTTAACAGGGAGATAAAATGGGGTCCTGAAGCAGGAAGGGGTCCACAGCTTAGTCACAGTGACCAGGCAGTTTTATCTTATCTTAGGGGGCAGATCTCCAGGGAAGATGCCTGTCAGAGGACTGGCTTCCTCCACAGTCCCAGGAGGGGTTGCCAGCAAGAACAAGCTGAGGAGAGGAATTTGAAGGGGCTCTGTGGATTGACAGGTACTCACAAGATAGCAAGATCCCATCCACTGGTGGCTGGGGGCACAGTGGTCAGGCCAGCATGGCAGCAGTCCAGCAGCTGACACTGTGGAGAGATTCAGGGGTGCCAGAAGGGCTTCCTGGAGTGCCTTGGGCACAGGGCCAGTGCCAGTAGCAAGCCCAGCAGGAGCAGATCACACATGGGATGTGTGAGCACGTCTGAACCATGACTGCCTGCAGTCACCTGGTAACAGAGGAGGCAGAGCCTGGGGCGTTGCTGTGATGGTGCTCATGTCATGGCTTGGAGCAGGACCGGGGCCCTGGGCGTGGAATGTCCATCACCAAGAGACTATGTCATACTCATAGGACTACAGCATAGAATCCTACAATGGACTGGCTTAGAAGAATTGTCCAGTTCCACCCTCCTGCCTTGGGAAGGAACACCTTCCACCAGACCAAGTTGCTCCAAGCCCTGTCCAACCTGGCTGTAAACATTTCCAGGGATGGGGCAATCACAGCTTCTCTGAGTACCTTTGCCAGGTCTTCACCACATTCATACTGAAAAATAAAAATAAAAAACACAGCAGGACCTTTTCCAATAACCCTTTTCAAACAGATGTCTCTGGAAAATCTTCTTTGGGAATACAAGCCCATTCTACCTTCTCTTGCACTTCACTCTTCATTCTTGTTCCGTCAAGCCTTAAATCCAACCATCAGTCCCAGCTCCACATGTTTTGGTTAAACTTTATCCCTTGCAACCCAAAATCCACCCCCTAGTCTCAAATCTACCCTCAGCACCAAATCCACACGCCAGCTCAAAATCTGCACACCCCCTAGTTCCAAATCCACCCTGCTCAGACTCAAATCCACACTTCAGCCCCAAATCTACTCCCAAATTGCTCCCCAGCCCCAAATCTACCCACAGTCCTGAACCTGTTAGCATTCAGGAGCACACATAATCACAGAACGATTACATGCAGGTGCTTTTATTGAGGCACACAGGAACTAGGGGTATCAGCAACCCAAATCTAGCTCCATTGTCTTTGTCCAAAGTGCACATATTTATACAATTTCAGCTGTAGCAGTAATCACTATAACAACCTTATCAATATTGCTTCATTAACTTTATCAATATTGCTTCATTAGAGTTAGCTCATCCATTCGTATACAAACATGTACAAATCTTATCTCTGGGTATCTTAGAGACCCAAGTACCAGTTCCCATTACTATAAACATTTTAGTTTGCTAAACCATCCCTAATACCAAGCATTCTTGTGCCCTACTTTTACATTATTTTCAGAAACATTTAACCCCATAGTAACAAACCTACTCCCCAATACAAATCTACCCCTAAATCCTCTGTCCCCCCAAGCTCCAAATATGCTTTCTTAATCCCATATCTACATCCCAAGCCCCAGATCCAACCTGTCCCATTGGCCGCTCCCCCCTCCCAGCCCCTCAGAGTAGCCTGTCCCACCCCAAAAAACAGACATGTTGGCAGTAGCAGGTTTATTCTCCAGCTTTCTTTCAGAGGAGTAGTGCAGCCATGGTCAGCAGGAGGCTGGAGTGGGAACAGAGCTGTCCCTGGTGTCAAATGGTGCAGTTCCCCTCTCCATAGCGCCGGCACTTCATCACCTTCAGGTAGGTCTCCACCTTGTGCAGGTCCTTCTTGAAGCAGGAGAGCAAGCCGTAGTTCTGCAGCAGTGCGTCCTCACTGCGCAGGTGGATGTCAAATTTCTCATAAGTGGCTTTGAGGATCTGGGGACCCTGTGGGCTTCGGTCCTGCAGCTCCTGCAAGAGGATTGAGAGGTGCTGAAGAAGGTGGTGGGTGCCTGGGAATGAGCTTGGGTCGCAATAACCTCATGCAGTGCTTCAGGCTGAGGCAGAGTGGCTGGGAATGGCCCTGAGAATACTGGTTGACAGTGGCTAAACATGAGCCCATGTGTGCCCAGGTGGGCAAGAAGCCAATGGCACCTGGCTTGCATTAGCCATGGTGTGTCCAGCAAGACCAGGGCCATGATAGCCCCCCTGTCCTGGGCACTGCTGGGATACCTCCCGGGGGCAGTTATGGGCCCCTGCTTACAACAAAGACATTGAGGTGCTTGAGCATGTCCAGAGAAGGGAACAGAGCTGGGCAAGGGTCTGGAGCTTCAGGAGCAGCTGAAGTAGCTGGAGGGGCTCAGACTAGAGAAAAGAAGGCTCTGGGTGGACCTTCTCACTCTCTATAACTCCCTGATAGGAGGGTGGAGCCAGGTGGGGGTCAAGCTCTGTTCCCAGGGAACAAGTGACAGGACAACAGGAAACAACCTCAAGCTGTGCCAGAGGTGTTTCAGACTGGACATCAGGATGAATTTATTTACAGGTAGGATTGTTAAACATTGGAAGGGACTGCCCAGGGAGGTGGTGAAGTCACTGCCCCTGGAGGTGTTCAGGGAATGGCTGGACATGGCACACAGTCCTCCAGTTTGGTTGACAAGGCAGTGGTCAGTCTTGGACTTAGTGATCTTGGAGGTCTTTTGCCACCTCAATAATTCTATGATCTTCTACAGGCCCAGTGCCACAGCTCCCACTGAACTTTAAATGAGGTCAGGGGTTTCTTCCTCCAGTCTTAAAGCATATTTCAAACATATTTTTGAGTGTGTGTGTTTGCAGGAAGAGCAGTGATGCAGGGGTGATGCTACAGTGAGAAGGGAGCTGGGCACAGAGCTGCAGGGAGGGAGCAGTGTGTCTTTGGGATCTTAAAGGGAAAGTTTCAGGGTCTCTCTGTAGCTCCTCCAGTCAAAGAGACAGGGAACCAGGCAAATAATTCTCTCTTTTCTCCCACTTTGCCAGCAAATAAATCTCTGACCGAGACCCGAGCCATGTACATCTGGAGCTGAGAGCTGCACTCCTCCTGCCCTGCTGTGGTCACCAGCTGCCACAAACAGGAAAGTTTTGGTTAAAAAAAGGTGCCATAAATGGGTGAAATATGAGTGTTTTCTGGTTTCTGTGCACCATTTCCTAATGTCCAAGCACATACCTAATGGGCACCAAAATCATAGAATCGTGAAGTCACAGACTGGTTTGGTTTGGAAGGGACCTTAAGGACCACCTCATCTGAAGCCCCCCTGCCATGGACACCTTCCACTACACCAGGCTGGTCCAAGCCCCATCTAACCTGGCCTTAAACAATTTCAGGGAAGGTCAGCCACATCTCTGGCCAACCTGTGCCTCACCACCCTCACAGTAAAGAATTTCTCACCCACACAAAAATCTGGAAGTGGTACTGATACCTACCCCTACTTTCTCCTGCTGAAGTGCCAGGACAGAAGGTCTCTGTTTACCCTCTGAGCCTGACATTCAGAATAATTTTAATGCTGGAAGACATAAACAATATTCCAGACTCATTTCTCACAGGTGCAGGTCTCAGAACTCTAGCTACAACATGAACCTGCCAGATAAACTTAATTACAGAATAAACATAACTGAAAAAGTGTCCTGGCAGGTAATGCACATCTTCATTTAAAACAACAGTGCAAAAATAAAGTAGATTATAAAGGGGACTTTAGGTAGAGCAAAGGTAGAGAGTAGCTTTTTACATGGACAGAGACAGGACAAGAGGGAATGGTTTTTACTAAAAGAGGAGAGATTTAGATAAAGTATTAGGAAGAAATTCTTCCCTATGAGGCTGATGAGGCCCTGGCACAGGTTGTCAAGAGACCCTGTGGTTGCCTTATTCCTAGAAGTGTTCAAAGCCAGGCTGGACTGGGCTTGGAGCAACTTGGTCTGGTGGAAGGTGTCCCTGCCCATGGCATGGGGTTGGAACAAGCTTTAAGGTCGCTTCCAACCCAGACCATTCTGTGAATCTGTGGTTAGTTCTTCCTTGAAGAGGATCACCCCTCACCTTTCAGCTCTCTGGATGCTGTAATAATGTAGGAGGGAAACACCAGAGTCCAGGCTTCCATCTGTACACATCCGTATAAAAACTGATGTTTTTATAAAATGTGAATCATCGCAAAATTTGCCACATTTCAAAGTATTTTGCATGGAGATGCAGCAAACATTATTTTGCTGTTAGTACAACTGAATATTTTTTTGTTGCTGTGTTTGGGAAGACTTTGGGTGTGAATTGTGATTCCTGATCAGTAGTGCTTTGCGATGGGTGTTAACATTTGTGTTTTCTTATCCTCCCTAGCAATGAAACCCAATATGTAGTATCATGATCTCATTATCTAAAGGTAAACAAAGTCTTAAGGATGCCACTGGTCTTTAGCATGGATGGTGGTGAGATTTCTCAAGGTCTTTGGATCCGTGAGAGCTGAGTGCCCTCTGTCTGGGAGTTCAGTTCTATAGTCATGCTACATGCTGCAACTTACCCTCATCAGAGCTTGAATCCCTTCTTCCAGGTCCTTTAGTTTTTCATATACTCTGTCTGAGGTGCCAAAAACCAGATTGTTTGTGAACATCTTGCTTAAGTACTGCATCGGGGTCAGCCAGGATTGGATGAGAATCAGGGAAAACTGAAGAAGCTCAATGTCCTGAAATTAAGACAGAAAAGAGTCAAAGCTGTGCAGGGGTATTTGACAGCGTGTCCTGCACCCTTTGGAATACCTGGAGACGTGCCACCACTTACAACTTCAGCAGACACAAAGTTTTCATGCTGGGAAGCACCACCCTGACCTGTGTCCTGTGCAGACAATAGTTTTTCTCATGCTTGGAGTAGGAATGTGATTTATAGTGTAGCCCAAAATAGTATTTCTTTACTTATGCTTGGTTCAAGTAATGAAAAAGGGAGGAGAGAGATGAAACACTCAAAGGTTCAGATGAAAACCCTCTGTTCCTGCAGTGAAGCACAGCTGGGCTCTTCAGGCATGTCTGTGCTTGACCTGAGGGTGAAAAAAAAACTTACTGATTTCTGTTGGGCATCATCCTTCTTCATGGGAGCAGGGATGGTTTCCGAGTAACAAAATGCTACCTGGGAATTCTTGTTTGTGTGCCTTTGGTCCTCTGGAATGTAGGTGCGTTCCTATGGAGACATCCCAAATACACTCAGATCTATTGCCTGTGTTCTGGACAAGACCTCAGACACTTCCAAAGCTGCTCTGAAATGGTTACTCCTTGCAAGAAATAAATGTGAGACATGAGGTGCCTTTGGACAGGGTTGGTAGGTGGGAAGCAGGAATATCATGTTGGCACAATAGCCACTGGGCCTAAAGGTCTTCCTAAGCCAAGGTGCTGAGGGGAACCACATCTGAACTAGGTTCTCCCAAGGAGTAAAAGACCCCAAAAGGTAGCTCTTGACAAAGTGCCAGCTCATGCCAGCTCCTGTCAGCAGAAGAAACTAGATTGTTTTAAGCACTCAGACTCTCCCAGGGACAAAAGTGACCAACACAGGGAAGTCTTATCACACATCTATGCCATGTCACAGCTGATCCTGTGCAGCCATGGTCCTGAGAAGAGGGACATACAGAGTATGGGGGCAGAGGGCTGAGAGGATGAAACAGGGTTGAATCTGATGGGACCTAACCTGTGCTATTCTGTTAAAACCCTCTCTCCTCATCAAAAGAGGACAAAGGAGACACCAATAGTTGAAAGGTGTCTGTTACAAAGTCCTGAAGCCATAAAGATAAAGTGGAGGAGATGAGCAGAGGCCACATCACTTACAAACTCCTTGTATGTCTCGGCAGCCAGGAGGTGAAGGTGCTGAGCCCTCAGCACGGCGTTGGTAAACAGGCTGGAAAGGGGTATGGCCGGGAAGGTGGCAGCTTGTTGTGGCCACTGCAGTCCCAGAATGATCATGGCAATGGCAAGAGGAGAGAACCATGACCCTGCAGCAAAGCACAACTGAAGGTGTTAGTAGTCCTCAGGAAACTGGGTTGAGGAGGGAGTGGCACCTGGGAGTTAATTCCCATGCTCTTCTGTCCATGCTGGCTGAACGCTTATCTTCCTTGGTGCCTGTTGGCACCAAGAGTAAGCTTAGCTTTCTCCAAAATTCTTTGAAACCCTTTTTACCAAGACCTACACCCACCAAGAGCTTGTGCTTCTCCTAGTGTTACCAGCAGTGTTTTCCTGGGAGGAGTCATGGTTGCTCCATGAAAACTAGTGTGTACCCCAATGTTTTCACGTGATACACTCAAGGTTTTCCTTTTCTCATGAGTCCTTGCCCATGTGAAAAGAGCATGGTGCACTCTGAGGGTGCACTACACACATGAGCAAGCAGTGGATGGTGAGCACCAAGTGAGGGCCTGGGAGCACCTCACTGTAGCCATGGTTTATGCTGTACTGTTAATGTGATGCTGGCTGTCTGCTTCACTGGGGTGAGAGCACATTGCCTGTGCTCTGACTGACTCCTGGGATATGACTGCAGAATTTGGTGTTCTTTGTCAACCCTAAATATTTTCAGCCTGTGACATCTGACTCACACTATTGTCTGTCTGCTGCAAAGACCACAAACTTAATCTCAGACAAATACCCCTTGGAGGAGAAATGTCCTGGAGCCTGTAGGACTTGGTCTGTTTAGGCTAAAGATTACCTAATGAATTAAAGTCACATTTCAGGGAAAGGTATTCTTACTCATTGGTTTATAAATTGCCATGCTTTAAGTTAGGGCTGTCACAGAGTATGCATATCCCACCACATACCACCCCATCATCATCATCTCCTCTCACCCTACACACATGGCACCACTGACAAATCCTTTAAAACTGTAATAAAAAGTACCTGGAGCCATTTCTGCCTGGTGAGTTCTCAGGTGTTGCTTGACAGTGAATATTTCCTCCTTTCATCTGGCAAGGGGAACTGTTGAGCCACCCTTTATATAGCAGGGGGTCTGTTTAAAATGGATCTGTGTGTCTGTGATCACAACAACTCTGCATCTTCTCCATGCATAAATGCACAGGTGTTACAGTGGTGCTGCCTCATTGTAGTAATTTATACACAAAAGTACAAGTTGGGAAGGTTGTTTGCCTCAGAATAAAATCAGTGCTCAATGATTTCACCATATCCTGCTGTTTATGACGAATAGAAGTTTCCTGGTCATTGGAATACCCATCCCAAGTCACATCAGTGTTTTTATATGGTGGAATTTGCTTTGTCCACCTCTTTTTGCTGTCTGGCTCTGCAGCCTTGGCTCACAATTCACAGGCCTGACTAACCAGTTTGAGAGATTTCTGATTTAAAGCAAATGGCAGGTTATGCCAGGGCAGGTTCAGGTTGGATGTGAGGGAAAATGGCTTCCTCAAAGGAAACCAGGCACAGGCTTTCCTGGGCAGTGGTGGAATCCCCATTCCTGGAGGGATTCAGAAGCTTTGTTGATGTGGCTCTTGGGGACATAAGTTAGTGACGGGCTTGGCAGTGCTGGGGGAACAGTTTGACTCAGTTATGTCAGAGGACTTTTCCAACCTAAACAGGTCTGTGATGGTATGTTTTCCCCTTTATTGTTAGTAGGGATAGAGCTGGATGGATGTTGTCAGATTAATCCTATTTCTTTCAATTTCTACCAAAATATTAAATATTCAGCAATTAGTATTGCTGAGGGTGTGACAAAGAGCTGTCATGCCTAGGTGCTTGTTTGTGTTCCAGCCTGCCCACTGCAAATACAACTGCCAGAGCTCTGGAAGGTTTCTCTCATTCTCAGTCTGTGAAAAGATCTGGTTGAGAACATCTTCCTGCTCCACAACAGATTAAGCAGAGGGCTGCTGTAGAAAAGAGGTAGAAGAGAAGATGGGGAAAAGAGTCATAGAATCATGGGATGGTTTGGATTGGAAGGGAACTTAAAGCTCATCTCATTACAAGCCCTGCCATGGCATACCTTCCACTAGACCAGGGTGCTCCGAGCCCAGTCCAGCCTAACCTTGAAGAGGAAATGCCACAGCATGCCTACACTTCCTTTTGAGCAAAATGAAACAGAACCCTGGATGGGCAACTACAGGGGGGTCTTAAAGGCCTTTTACTCCTCATAAGGCACTAGTCTGATTATCCCAAACCACACTGGTTTGAACTTTTGTTGGGAGTTCAGGGTCTGTTTCTTTCTGGACAAGTGGTGATTTGTCTTTGCCAGACCCCAGACAGAGCATTTGCTATGCCTCCCAGTGTGGGTCCAATTTCCAAGAGGCAGCATCAGCCCTGGGGCAGCTGGAGCAGAAGGTGGAGAGGTGGTTAATAAACATGCTGTGGAGAGCATGGTCTGTTCTGAAAAGCCCCTGGGGTGGAGATGTGGTGGTGTCACAAGGTAAATGTCAGTCCTTGGAGAAGTGGGAATGGCTATCAGGTATCCCGTCACCCAATAACCAGCAACATCTGGTTGTGTTTTTCTATTCCATATTATGTTTAAATATATCAATATTTGTCAGAGATGAGCAAAGCAGCAGCACCTCAGCACAACCCACGGGCTGCTGCCTGTGAATGATGATAATGTGGCACTGCAGCACCTTGAACCCATGTCCTGCTGCCTCTTGCTTCACTGGCTGGCTCTCTGGTTTTGTTAGTGAAAGCTTGGTGCTAAGTCAACATTTTTTATGTTGTAGCCAAGCATGGAGATGCTGGGATGATCAGCCTGTGTGGTTCCCCTGAGGTTTGGGTTGTCCTCAATCATTTCTGGGCGTTAAATGAGAAAGAAGCATTGTGGGAAAGGCAGTGTAACTGAAATGTTGGGCTGGGAAAACACACACCACTGGCAAAAATTTAATTGCATAAGCTCTTAAATCTCAACCTTTTTTTATAGATTTCAGACACAGGAATTTGCAATCTAAAGCAGTATCTCTTAAAAGCAATGTGTCACTCTGTAATTGGCAAGTTCCTTTTATTTTTGAAAGAGAGAAAAACCCTACTTCCCTTCAGCACGTTCACACATCCACCCACTTTACCCTGAGCATCACCTACTCTAACAAGTTTCACTAAAGAAGTGAAACAACTCTCCTTGCAGTGCATGTGCTCCCTGATTACTGGGAACCCCCCATCATGGGGTGGCTATGTGGAGAGGACCTTCCCAGCCTGACCTCAACTTCCTAGCCTGACCTTTCTTGCCTAGACCTTTGTGGTGGGCCAGGCCAGGTCGGTTGATCTGACCTGGGAAGCCACAACCTTCCCAGAGGGAGCTGTCCTGCAAGAGACAGGCTTTGAGGGATCTCTGGCAATCCCTGGCCACCAGGTAAACTCAGCAAGGGGCAGCCTGTGGCTACAAGTGATTTTAGCACAGTGATTTCAGCTCAGTGATTTCAGCTCAGTGATTTCAGCTCAGTGATTTTAGCACAGTGATTTCAGCTCAGTGATTTCAGTTCAGCTTGTGAGGTTATCCCGGGCCGACACAGAGACAGACAGACAGGAGTGTAGTGTGGTGATTCCACAGAGACAGCCTTTATTGTCCAGCAGCTCTGTGAAGGGCAGCCAGGGACAGCAGCTCCCCCCTGAACTGGGCAGGAGCTGGGGTTTTTATGGGGGAAATCCAGGCTGGTACCAGGGGGGAAAACCAATGGGTTACAAAGGATCAGCACAGTCACCAAAGCAAGATGGGATAGCTTACCATGAGAAGAGAGGATAGTCACATTTAAGGGGTATCTACCTCTCCAGGAGAGGGTTGAGATAAGTTTATCACAGCTCCCTTAAGACACATTCCTCCAAGGGAAAGCCTTGGCAGGCTCACTTGCCTCCACAGACCTTCTTGGGTAAGCACGGCTGGTAAGTCCTGACCAAGGAGCCACTGCCAGCCCACAGGCTAGGCTCTGCACATTGGAAAGCAACAACATGATCAGAGCATTGAAGTGGCAGTTGATATCTCTTCTGGCTCACTGCTTGGAAGGTAAGTTCCTTCTGGAATTTATGGGTTTTGCTTACTGGAGGTAAGGCTGCACAATTTCACTGAACCCATTTGGAAAGATTTTAGAATCATAAATGCATAAAATGGCCAGGATTGGAGGGGACCTTAAAAATAATCTTCTTCATCATCTTAAAAACCCCTTCCACTAGACCAGATGGCTCCAAGCCCCATCCATTTTGGCCTGGAACACTTCCAGGGATGGGATAGCCACAGCTGCTCTGGGCAACCTGTGCCAGGGCCTTGGCACCTCACAGGGAAGAATTTCT